GAGCTGTGCCAGCCTGCAAGAGCTCTTTGCAAAAGCGGAGAATCCACAAATTTCTCTGCGAAAAAGAGAAATCTGCATTTTCTCCCATTAAAAATGGGGAATCTGGTTTTCTCCATTTTTTCACGGGAAATGGAAAACCTGGATCCCTGGTTATAAGGAAACTTTATTACCAAGTTTATAGAAGTATCAATAGCAATTTTATTCAGCTGTATAACAGCACAACCATTAGCTTAGATTATGTTTTTTTTCCTTAATTTTTATCTTTCAGCTATAAAGTTTCTTTAAGAGGAAGTGAACTTTAAAAAACAATTAAAATATGGAATTCTTATCTAAAAAAATATTTTTATAACGCAACTAACTGCCCACAAAGCTTCAGGCCCCAAATTTTATGTGAACTTCCAAGCTCATTAAAACAATCAAATGTATCTAGGAATATGTCCAACCCAGTGTGCCCAGGTCTGAAAATCTATGTTGATGATAGTTAGTAGCCTGCCTGGTTACTTTTTATTTTTTATCACAAACCTAGTCATACAAACCTGTTATGGTTAATGGTATTAGGTGTTGGAAGTGCTTGGTAGATGCTTCTTGTGTATGCATTTTGTACTGAGATTAAGAATTGAACTTAAAATATGTTAGAAGTAATCTTCATGTACAGATTTGTATAAAAGACAGATTGTCAGAATCAGTGTGTCAAAGTGGCTGTATCTATTCAGAGCCAGAGGATTAACGCCCCATTGAAGTGTTGGTAAAGAATTGTCTTTTTTGTGTTTCCAGCCCATAAAGTGGAGTAGAGACAGCTTGTGGATGCACGGTTAGTCTGAAAGCATAAGAAAACAGGATAGATTTCAGTCTCGTCCCTCTGTATCTGCTATCTTTACTTTTTCAAAAATAATATTTTTAGAAGCAAAGGTTGGCTCTGTACTGGTTCTTTCTTTAGGATCACTGAAAAAATTGTCACTGTGCCAGTCATTTCTGTATTTGGGAAATCTTTTAGAACTTGAAAATTATCTTTCTGGTGGTACAAATTTTGAGATGCAACCCTTCCAGAAGTCGGAATCAAGAGGCCAAACAATATATGTTATTTTAAGACTAGAACCCATGATAAATGGCTAATGCCAAACTGGCTTTTTTTTTTTTTTTTTTAATTAATGTGGTGGTTATGTTCTGTGAAGTTGTTGTGTGGAGTTAAGCATCTTGTTTTTACAAAGTTTACTCTTTCTCAGTGTTCCTATTGTGAGAATTACTGATTGATCCTTGCTGTTCACCCTTTCTTCTGTACACAGATGAATCTTCCTGTTTTTATAGCTCTCTCCACTCCTGCCAAAGGGAGAACTTTATTTTTATGGAACAGTCCCTCCCATCTCTGCTCCCCCTTGTCTATTATGTCTCAAGATGGTGAACATAGTTTGTGTGCTCTCAGATGTGTGGCAGAATTACAGGTTCTTTTTGTATATGGCGCTTCTTTTTTCTGAGCGGGATTACTATGTTGACTACATCTCCCCCATATCCCTCCTCATGAGGTGGTTTTGTTTTGTTTTGGGTTTTTTTTTCCTTTTTCTTTTTTGGTGAGAAGAGATGTTCTTGCTGGATAGAAGCATTGTTTTAAAAAATGCTGTTGAATACTGCTTTGGCTGCAGTTCAGAAGTTTGACTGAAGCTATGTTGTCTGGCTGCTTTCTTCTGAGTTGGGCAAAACCAAGCCTCTTTCCAGATCTCGCTGTCCCATCCACTAGCAAGTGCTGAGTGGGAATAGCAACTGTGCAGAGATTGCTTCTTTGTATGTTTTGTTAGCTCTGGTATAGATAGCCCTTATAAGAGAGCAAAGGACCACTTTGTTCCCTCTTTATACTCTCTTGTGTACCTGCCTAGACTTAATGGTGAATTTAGCTCAGGGCTATCCAGCTGGTGGCCCATGGGCCTCAGGCAGCCCACAGAGGGTTATGCAGCCTCTGGGCTTCTGTCTAGCCACTGCACACTAGATCTGTGTGACTAGGAAAGTATTCAATTCAGATTCGGCCGAGTTTGGAGGACAGTGATTCGATTTGGAGATTCAGATCACTGTCCTGAATCAAATCGGCTTTGGAAGATTCAGCGCAAATTTGGAGAGATTTGGTACTTTGGATCAGCCAGGGAGAGGCAGGCACAGCCAGAGGATCTGTGGGAGAACCTGCAGCCTCCTGGCTGTGCCTGCCTCTCCCCAGGTGGGAGGAGCTGTGGGAGAAGCCCCCATAGCTGCCCTGCCCAGCCCCATCCCCTGCTTGGCCCCAGTCTAGTCCTGGCACTTAAAAAACAAACAAAAACAAAACCAAAAACAACAACAACAAATGCTCCACACTCACTGGCTGCAGGAGCGGCGAT